CCCCCTCAGGTGGAACCCCCCCACCCCCCACCCCTGGTTAAGAATCACTGCTGTGGATGGCCACCTCTCCTCTCAGACCTTCACTCTTCAGTCCCATGCCTTGAGCTTTCTAGTGATGACAATTTAGTGTCCCCACTCAAGCATATTGGCGCTTCCTAGTCTCACTCCCTTTTTTGAGACACCTTCTTCCTTTCACTGTTTATTCTTTCCCACAGAACATACCCTGGTCCTAGTCTGCATGTGAAAGCTATTCTTTTTAACCCTTAGTCCTACCCATCATATCCTTCCTACTCAGCATCACTCAAGTCTTCTGTTAGTCTGGGTCTTTGGGGTGATTGTTATTACCCCTTTCATTTCTTCCTCTGCAATTAAAACACATGGTACCCGCTGCAGAGATTATACCTTTGGTCCTCAAGATCCTTGTTGTAGTGCACCAGCTGGTGTTATTTAGAGCAGCTACTGCCTTACTTCACCTCTGACCATCCCAAAGTCTTACTTTTACCAAAGTAGATATAGTCATTTCTGGTCACTGCTGTTCCACTGGCCTTTCATCGTCTTGCCTTGCCCTTTGACACATAATCACCAATCTTTCCTAGGTGCTTCCAACCCCTACAGCCTTGCTGTTCTTTCCACTCTTGCCACCCTTCCTTTGTCCCTTAATTGTACTACCCAGACTACCCAGGCCATACTCTTTCTTTACGGAATTCATCACACTCATTCTCTCTCTTTGCAGCCTTTTAAAAACAGAGTTCCTACTCAACTGACCCACTTTTCTCTCTCTCCTTGGTTTTGTTTTTGTTTTTGTTTTTTGGTGTTTTTGGTTGGTTGGTTGGTTTTTGGTTTTTTGAGACATGCTTTCTCTGTACAGTCCTGGCTGTCTTGGAACTCACTCTGTAGACCAGGCTGGCCTCGAACTCAAAGAGCCGCCTGCCTCTGCCTCCTGATTTCAGCACCATGACCAGGCTAACTGACACTGTTCTGAGCCTAGGTGTACTTGTCTTGGATCAGGCCCTTCCCTGCATGCTCTCTTCTCTTGCTCTTTCATGTGTTGCAAACTCCTAACCTCCTCTCGCGTCTCCTGCATTCAGCTGATCGTTTCTCCTGCTGTGCTCTTTACTCCAGTGAAGCAGTCATACCCCCCCCCCCACTGGACGCCCTTTCCACTGTTCTGTGTGAAGTGCTGGTTCAGTCTGGCGACCTGGGTATGCACTCTCTGCTTCACCTGTCCTCCACACCCACTGTTCTAACAGGCTCCTTCATCTTTGCAACCCACTGCTTGTACAAGCCTGCATATTATACCCAGCAGTCCATGTAAGTTCCTTCTAGAACTCCATACTCGTGGCTCCCTGTAAACTGTTTTGCTTCCTTTGCTGCTCTTTTGTATGACACTATTCCTGAAAAGCCCACAGAGAGCATCTGTCTCTTAATGTTCCTGTTTCTACATGCTTCTTGTCCTCTGCCCTCATTTCTGCCTACTCATCCTCAAACAAGGATGCCCACCTTCTCTCGGACATGCTGCTAACAGGACAGCTCTCTTTCAGGACACTCGAGCCCATCATCTTCCTTTCTTGCATCTCCACCCCCCCCCTCCACCAGTGATTCTCACCCAGGGGTGCATGGCCTCCCAGTAGCCTATCAGAACATCTTCTGGATGGTGTTATTGTTGGTATTTGTGAGCAGATCACTGCTCTGCCTCTGATGTTCTGATAGGCCACCTGGGGGCTCCACTGATTGTGCTGGTTTGACCAGCTCTCCTCTCATGTCTCCCACCTATTCCTCACCTCCTCACAACTCTCCTGGGTCCGGCTAACCCTTTCTCCTGCTTTCCCATCCACTGCCCAGAGAAAGAGAGTCGTACTCTGAACACCTGCAGCTCCTTCAGATGCCCTCTGCAATGCTCTGCTGTATCCTGCCCTGCTGCTTGCTTCCCACCCCTGCTTGCTTTGGTTTGGTTTTTCTTCCCAAAGTGTGGCTTGCAAGTTGGCCAGACCGCTCTTAAGGGCCTCCTTCTGCCTCTGCGACTTCCCACTTTCTTGTGCCTGCAGTTGTCCAGCTTGTGTCCCTGCTCCCTGCTCTCTGCTCCCTGCTCTGTTCTCTCTAGTGTCTCTGCCCTGTCTTCTATAGTTGACTCTTTCATGTAGCTTTTTGCTTCTGATCTATTTCTTCTTTTCCTCACCAAGAGAAAAAGCTTTTTTGCCTCTTCTGTATTCTCAATTATTCGTTCCTGTCACTTTGTCAGATATTATGTCCCCCAGTGGTTTCCTGAGCCTGTCATCAGTGTGCCAACTCCTGCATCTTCCCCACATTCTACTTGCTTCTCCAGAGCCAGCTGTTCTCACTCTTCTTACCATCCACTGATTCTTTCCTTCTTTTCACTTCTTGTGTCCACCGTCATCCTGATTCCTTCTTTTTTCCTCTTCCTATTCCACCAAAATGGTTCCCACAAAACTCGAAAGTCTACCCAGTACTTTTCATACTTCCTCCTCTTCATCACTTCTGTACCACTAACAGGGCTCCCTTCAGGAAATACCTACTATCTATTACCATAGACTCCACCCATTCACAGCATGTACATCTCCCAGTTCTTCATTCCTTATTTGGCCTGCCTGTATCACAACACTTGTGTTCAGTATTTAAGATCCTTTCTTACACAAGGCCCACTCTCCAGCTGCCTCTTCCTACCTGTTTTCCTTTAGTTCAAACCTCCTCCAAAAGAAGCTGAGCCTGGACACACTAACCTTCCCCCAGGGTGTTGCTCTCTGGCCGAACAAGTTTACTCTTTCATTACTTTCTTGTAATTTATTTATAATGCCTTGCTGGGTTTGATGGCCTATCCACATCCTTTTGCCATTTTCACCGGCCAGATGCTGTTTGCCAGTGCCTGTCTGTCTGCCAGGCATTACAGCTCTCCTTTTAGATATCTTAAATACTGAAGCACAGGTTCACTGGTCACTGCGAAATGCCTGTTCCGCATTGGTTCCCAGCTGCGCCTCTGCCATTTGCAAGTATTTTGCTGCTGACAGACATAATGATCTCAGTCTGGAGTAGGCCTTTCCCAAGTCTCATTACTTGTTGGTGCTGTCTATGCATGTCTGGCCTGAGCACATACCACTCATCCTGTCTCCTTGACTTGTCTACTAGAAGCTGAATGCCCTCTATTTGGAAACTGCAATCTCCTTCCCCCTTTACAAGCAGACACCACTCTTAGCTCCCATTTTCAAGAGGTTCTCTCCCAGTTGGAATGTCCCCATCCCTCTGTCTTCCTATCAGCTCTGATACAGTTGGCCCCACATACCACTTTTCCATGGCAGCCAAATCTAGTGACGGGATGTCTATTTAATCCTTGCATGTCCCTCATCTTCTGTTTCTCCTCTTTTTTTTTTTTTTTTTTTAGAGACCCTCCCTCTACTTCCTTGCAGTTTCCAGGCACATTTCTTCTGCCATCTGACATCAAGCTCTAACACAGAAATGCCCATCCTTTCTTTGACAGCTCTCTTCATGGGCACTCCAGTCCCCTCAGAGCTCATCTTCTTCCTCAGCTCCTATTAACTACTGGTTCCATTTTTCTCTGTCCCTGCCTCTCCATGGGCAACCAGCCACACGCACTCCCCCATCACCCCTGTGCATCATCCATCTCTATCAGCCTCACTCACTCCTCCACCTCAGTCCTCAGCAGGAACCACAGTGTTGGCACTGCACTCCCTGCCCCTGACAGCAAACCCTCACACAGCTCTCATCCTTCCTCAGACCTTCCTTGTGCACTGCATCCAGCTGCTCACTGTCATCCCCCTGCACTGACAGCACCTTTTCTCCCAAGTCTGACAGTCATGATCTGATGGCTCCATCTGCCTGGACTCACAGGCTCCATCTGCTCACCCTTCCTTCTCTGTAGCCATCTCCATTCCCCCGCCCCTCCACCAGTGATTCTCACCCAGGGGTGCATGGCCTCCCAGTAGCCTATCAGAACATCTTCTGGATGGTGTTATTGTTGGTATTTGTGAGCAGATCACTGCTCTGCCTCTGATGTTCTGATAGGCCACCTGGGGGCCATGCCCGCCCCCCCCCTCAGGTGGAACCCCCCACCCCCCACCCCTGGTTAAGAATCACTGCTGTGGATGGCCCCTGTCTTCCCTGGCCTTTGTCTTCCCAGTCCATGCCCTAGCTTTCTGGTGGTGACCACTCGATGTCCTCACTCAAGCATCTCAGTGCCTCTCCATCTCAAATGAACAGAATACTTTCCACTTAGAATTACTTCCTTCCCTTCTGTTCATTCCTTTACAGTGTTATAGTGCCCAATCCCAGTCTGTATGAGTGCTCTGTTTTCTTTGTCAAACACATTCGCCCTCATCCTAGTCACCTCTACCAAATATGACTATCCAAAATTTTGATGTTATCCCAATCAAATTCTCTTTGCTTAGTATTTATTATCACTTTTAATTTCCCCTATTCTTTTGCAGTTAAAACAATGAGCCCTACAGAACCATCTTGAATTTTTGTCTTTCCTTTCTTCCTACAAAACATCCCCTGACCCTCTTCTTTCCTATCCTCCCCACCTGAAGTTACTCTTTCTCCTTTGGGTAGATCCCATCTTTCCCAGCAGGTGTCTGTCTGTTCATTTGAACACTAGACATGGAATTGTTTTCCAGCTCAAAACAGTAGAATTATTTTCTCTCAATACCTGGCACTTGGCTCGTGTCCCCACCCAAAACCCATCCCAGTCCTCCCGCCCCCAGCCCCTCCCCACCCCACCCCATCCTACCCCACTATTCCCAAACCTGCCCTCCCCACTAACCCAAGTAAGCCCCATCCTTTATCCCTTCCCACCCACCCACCCTTCCCCGCCGGATCCGTAGTAAAGAGCCTGGCCTAAATTTTACTCCGCAAGAACACTCAAGACAATAATTTAGCTATTTTACCTTACCTATTGCTGACTACCTTTTTCTGCTTTTCCTTCCCCATGCTGAGGCTTACAAGCTGTTCTGGGCACTCTAAAGTGCCATCATTCTGATCCTGGGACCTCCCATGTGTCTTTACTCCATGATGGTTTCCAGCTTGTCTCCTTCTACCTCATTCTCTGGTGTCCATGCTCCCTGGGTATGTCTTGTGCCCTGTCTGTCTTCCGTATACTGTATCATCCTCCTGTAGCGGTACTTTTCCTTGCTGTATTTCTTCTCTTTCCTCCCTGGCTGAGGTAAACCCCTCTGGCTTCATTGCTGTGACTCTTACTTCGTTGTTCATCTACCTAGTATCAGTCACTCCATCACCTCTTTGTCCACAGTGGATGGTCTGCTCTTTGCTGTGCTCGTATGCTCATGGTCTTTCCATCCCTACGTCACCTTCTCTTCTGCAGCCATGCACTGTCACTGGTCTGGATATTCAGTTGGCCTTACTTCATACCTAACCTAAGATGGCCTTTTTCTTTTTCGCCCTCACACCAGCCTTCTCTCTCTTCTTTCCTTTCCTTCCATCAAAAAGAAGCACACAACATTACAGCCAACCCTACACTTACTGCTCTTTCCCTGTCTTACTTGTACTTGTCCACCAAAGGACTCCCCAGACTGAATACAGCCTTGTCTGTTGCACTTGCTTCAGCACAGTTAAAGATTATCTAGATCATCCATCTCCTTCCATATCCAGCCTGTACCTACCTTCACAATAGGAATGATACCATTTTAAAGACATCTTCTTGCACAAGCACCAGTTTCCATTCTGGTCTGCCTGCCATTCCAAAAAGGAAGCCTTTCAATTGAATCCCTACTTTGCACTACTAACAAGCTTCCTATTTACCTTCTGCATGAAATCTACAAACCCTGAGGAGTTTTGAAGCCCTCTGCCCACTTTCACTGCACCTTTTCTCCCTGCACAGTCTCGCTGTTGTACAGCACATCTCTCTCCTTTCAGCCAGTCTTGAATAGTAGAAGCACAGGTTCAGAGGTCAACTACGGAGTGGCTGTTCCGCATTGGTACCCAGCTGTGCCTCCACCATTTGCACACATCCTGTATCCACACTCTTACTGGACTCTCTTCAGGAGTTCAGTCCCACGTTTCTGAGGTGGCTTAACAGTTGTCTGTGCAGGAGTCTATAAGGTGCACCTCACCTGGTCTCCTCTAATTAACTCAAGCCACTCTTGTCCCTTTGCCAAAAAACGCCATCAGTTCCATCCTACAAACACCTGGGCTTTTGCTTCTGTTCTCCTCTTCTAAAATCTGACATTGATGCCACCAATTCTATACATCTGTCCCCTGAGATCTGTCAATGTTCCCAGCTAGGAAACTCTACAGTCTACTTTTCTGTTTTTCATTGTTGCCCCTTGACCTTTGCTTAAACTACCACAAATGCATAACATTTGTTTCTGAGTTGCTTCCTCTTCCATTTTCCCATCAACTCCCCTGACCCAGCTTGACTCGCACGTGCCACTTTCCCATGCCATCCCGCCTCCAGTGTGTCTCTTTCTGCCATGAATGTGAATGGTACCCTGCCCAGCCAGCTCTTTCTTTTCTCATGCTATGCTTTCTAGAGATCCTCCAGTTCCTCCCTATATGCAGTGGTATTTCCCCTGCCAGCTCGCAAGCAGTTCTCTCCATGTCTACTGGATTCCTAACTTTTCCTTTACTGTTGGGATTATTGCTAACCTCTGTTTCCAGCCTGCTCTCCTGAGTCCTTATGTTATATTAGTTCATTCAGACCATCCTAGCTGTGCTATTTTGGTGACAGTGTTCTCTGCAAAAGATGTTTCCTGTACCTTTTCTTACTCAACAAGTGGTCCTCAGTGGTCATGGCTGCCTCTACAACCTCATTCTCTAGACCTCTTTTACCATCACTTCCTTCCTGGATTCTCTATCCATGTCATAGTCTTTTCTCTCAAGAATTTGACTTCAAATTCTCTTTGCCCATATGGATGGTAAGTCCCTGGATTCTCTGGGTTCACCCCTTCTTGTGATCTTAGCAGCCCTCGGGGCTCCTGCACTTTTCATCTTTCTGGTTTCCATAAATTAAAACTTCTCACTTCTTTTCCTCCTCTCATTCCTGATTATAGGTTAATTATTTATCCTTCTTCCCCACAATTCTACATAGTATGTAACCTTCCCCATCTGCCATTCTTTTAGCTATTCTGATTTGTCCGACAGTTGTCATGTTCCATGAGAATTCTTTTCGTGGTCTCAACAAATGAAAATATATCCAACACTCCTTTCATTAGGCAGACCACACAAAATCTACCTGCTCTCCCCAGCCTCTTAGGCTCGCCACTCTGGTCTACCAAATGTATGTTTTTCTGACTCCCAACAACCATGGCTTCCCTCCTTATAATCTTTTAGGGGTTCCTTTTACATTTTTCTTTTTTCATTTATGAGATAGGATATCACTATGTATGGCAAGGTAGCCTGCAACACAATATCCTATACCTTTAGCCTCCTGAGATCTGAGGTTAGAGGTATGTGTCACCATACCCAGCCTTACACATCTGTTCTTTCAGACTCTTCAAAAAGTGCTCTTAGGGAACTGCCTTGGATTCTACTACCTAATTCTTAGCCCTAATGCTTTTTATCTTCTGCCCTCATTCCTGCCTCATACGTGCCTACTCCATCTGCCCACAGAATCACCCATTCTTACTCTGACTTTCTGCTGGGTTTACAGCTCTCTTTCTTGGCAGTCCAGTCCCTGACTTTCCCTCCTCCCTCCATGAAATCCCCTGCACTGCTGACTCCATTCTCCTCTGTTCTTGCCTCCTCATGGACAACCAGCCACACATTCAGTACCCACCTTTCTCAATGCAGGAACCACAGTGTTGGCACTGCACTCCCTGGCCCTGACAGCAAACCCTCACACAGCTCTCATCCTTCCTCAGACCTTCCTTGTGCACTGCATCCAGCTGCTCACTGTCATCCCCCTGCACTGACAGCACCTTTTCTCCCAAGTCTGACAGTCATGATCTGATGGCTCCATCTGCCTGGACTCACAGGCTCCATCTGCTCACCCTTCCTTCTCTGTAGCCATCTCCATTCCCCCGCCCCTCCACCAGTGATTCTCACCCAGGGGTGCATGGCCTCCCAGTAGCCTATCAGAACATCTTCTGGATGGTGTTATTGTTGGTATTTGTGAGCAGATCACTGCTCTGCCTCTGATGTTCTGATAGGCCACCTGGGGGCCATGCCCACCCGCCCCTCGGGTGGAACCCCCCACCCCCCCACCCCTGGTTAAGAATCACTGCTATGGATGGCCCCTTGTCCTCCCTGGCCCCTGCTGTCCCATTCTATATGGAGCTAAGAGCTTTCTGGTGGTGACCATTTGATGTCCTCACTCACGCATCTCAGTGCTTTCCCCATGTCATACAGACCAACACTCAATAACTAGAATCACCTCCTTTCTCTCTGTTTCCTCTTTCACACACAATGTGCTCGGAGCCTAGTTTGTATAAGAGAGCTCTTTAAAGAAACCTATTCCTCCTCATTCCTCATAACTCCCACCAAATATGACTTTCAGGCATTCTGATACTAGTTTTTACTTTAACCTGGTCCTTAGATTTGCTTATTATCCCTCCCCACTTGTGATCCTTCTTCTTGACAACACACAGAGAGTCTGGACAGAGCGTCACTGCTGTCAGTGTCTGTCCTCTTGCTACAGATAGCACTTTACCATTGCTCTCCTTCCCACCTGCTCCCTGCTGTACTTGCTCTGTCTTGTAGTAAACTCAACTCAATCTCAGCCTCTGTTTATCAACCTCTGTACTCAAGGTGGAGTCTCTACGGGCTAGAAGCTCAATACCTGAATCCTGGCTTGTACCTTCTCAACCTAACCCTCTCATCTCCCTATGTTCAGCCCACTATTCTCATTTCCCCTTCCTAGCCAATCTAGCTAATCCCCAAATAAACCTCACCCTCACCACCCAAACTTTCCTGCCAGCCACCTATCCCTAACCAGTCTGTTACAGAGCCTGGCCAAAAGTTGCACTAGCCAAGCACACTCAAGGCTTTAAGAGCACATTTTCTACCCTCCCTTCCCCATGCCCAGCCTTGAAGGCTAGCTAAGTCCTCCAAGGGCCTTCACACCCACCCTGGCACCTTTCTTCTTGCTTCCTAGCCTATTGTTGCCTAGCCTGTCTCCCTTCCACCTGACTCTTGCTCTCCATCTTCCCTGGGTGCCTTTTGCACCATTTGTCTTCCATACCTGCCTGCCATACTGTGACTGCATTATTGTCCTGTGGTCACATTTCTCTCTCTCTGTCTCTCTCTGTGTCTCTGTCTCTGTCTCTGTCTCTGTCTCT